CCCCCCCCCCTTCCTTTTTTCCCCCCCCACCCCCTCCGACTTTACTCTCCTAGCGCTACGACTTTACTCTCCTAGCGCTACGACTTTACTCTCCTAGCGCTACGACTTTACTCTCGAAATTTTATGAATTTATTCTGAAAATGTTATGACTTTATTCTTTTTAATTTTCGAAATAAATACAAAAATCTCTAGCCTGGCCCTTATCTTTCGTACTTTAAGGACGAGTTTTGAACAGACCAGAAGTTTCCTTTAGTGTCATGATAAAGTCTGAGGTAAGTCTGACTAAATGAAGCCCAAACTTTGTGTGTTTTACAGCCACTCCAGGACCTGTGAGGACATTCAGAACCACAGAAGACATCAGAGATCAGACTGTTCAGGTTAGGTTCAGTTTCAACTGTTAAATTACAGAAGTTCAGACTTTTAATAACCAACATTCTCAGAGCTTCAAAGCTATTTCTGTGCATTTAGTTGATTTAAGGTTTGTTCTTCAGAATCTGCTCTGCGAGGTTCTGGATTTAAAAGAAACCATCTGAGTTCTGCAGAAGCAGATCCTGGTTGATGAACCTTCAGAGAAACCCTTCGGTCTTTAGTTTAATAACCAGGTTCTCTGTTCCTGGATCATTGGGGAACTTCAGATATTGATGAACACTGCAGATCTTCATCTCTGCTGATCTTTTCAGAATAGCTCTTTGTTCTACTGAGTCCCAGAACCACAGGCAGAGTTCCTTGGGTTCCCTCCTCAGCAGAACCAGCTCAAAGTCCAGCCGAGGCTGATAGGAACCAAATCAGTTCAGGTTCAAAGGTCAGAGTTTTTAAGTTCCTCAAACCAGTTCATCTGGTTCAGGTCTGTTTATCAATGGATCATGAAATCAAGCCTGTGGTTCTGGTTCTCAGAACTTCACGGTACCCTATCGCCCTCGTTCATTGGCGGTTAGAGAAGTTATGTTCTGGTGTTTGGACCCGAGTGAAGCCGACAGGAACCTGTTCGGTTGGACCAGGACCCTGAGGGGTGTGATCTTCTACCTGATAAGCTCTGATGAGGGACTGGACGGCCAGATGATCCTCCACCAGCTTCTCCACGTTGGGCTGGGCTCCAACCAGCGAGGACAGCTGTGGGGCTGCCAGGCCCGATGCCGCAGCCAGACCCAGAGGAGACTGATAGGCGGCGCCGGGAGGAGCACCGGCGTTGGCGTTACGGAAAAACACGTCCCACGACTGGAAGGAAGAGGAAGAGGAGAGGTCAGAGATGAAGGACTGGCAGGACACTTCTAGCAACATCAAACAAACCAGTTTAGGCTGAAGTGGTTCTGATTCAGTTCTAGGATGGAGGCTTTTCTAATACTGATTCTATTTTCCTTTTCCTGTGATGGATGTTTGGGTCAGAGGGGCTCGGTTCAGTACCTACTGGGATTGGGTCGCTCCTCCTCTGAATTCAGTTTAAACACCAGTTCAAAGCAGATTCTGGTCGACCCAGTTCAGCTGTTGAAAGTTGAGGGATATTTGCTATTGATCCTTTATGTAAATCAGAAATATATCAAATATCGCTCAAATC